GCTTAAATGATTTAAATGCTGCTTAAATGATTTAAATGCTGCTTAAATGATTTAAATGCTGCTTAAATGATTTAAATGCTGCTTAAATGATTTAAATGCTGCTTAAATGATTTAAATGCTGCTTAAATGATTTAAATGCTGTCATAGATGATTTACTCGGGAGATTCTGGTAATTATGATTAATAGCAGTATTTAAGGAATTCAGGTAAAGAAAATTGAGAAGCAAAATAATAAGAATTTTGTTATCTTTGACCATGACTCGAGTTCAATGTAAATTTAAATCAGGCGTCAAATTAGTCCAGGATTAAATTGAATCGTTAACGAATATGAATAACACGTAAACGTGTCTTAAACTTTAAAATATAATATATTTAGTATAATTTTGCTTGTTTCGCGCAGAAATAGACAATTTCTATATGATTATACTACCAAGGGAAATATTTCTTTCGATCTCGAGCAAATATCAAAGTTGCAATTTATTTCTTTCCAAACTCTTATTGCGTTTACTTATATACTCTTTTTAAAATTTAGATTTTTTCGTTCAATTCTTTTGCTGAAACCACATTCCCGTATTAAATTTAAAGTCGATTGCTGTAAGTATTATTAACGAGCCTCAATATATCAGAGCACGGTAAGAGTTTTAGCATGAACTTTAAAGTTCTATTATATTCAATTTCTGTACGTGCATTAATAGTTATCTCAAAATATCGTTGTAATGTGGGAGAAATCACCACCCTCGAAAAGTTACCCTCTTTATCCGCCATGTGCAAATGATTTAACGCCCACTTAGCCCCCACGTAGATAAATTAGTGAGATTTTATCCAAATTTGGATTATATGACCAACTATTTTTCTGAGCGCTGTGTCCAAATATTCAGAGCTAACATTAGCAAACTTCGTCAACATTTGAGTCAACTGGTGAATAGCCACTTAATGAATGAAAAACTTCATCAACATTTGACTGATGAATAGCCACTTAATGAATGAAAAACTTCATCAACATTTGAGTCAACTGGTGAATAGCCACTTAATGAATGAAAAACTTCATCAACATTTGAGTCAACTGGTGAATAGCCACTTAATGAATGAAAAACTTCGTCAATACTTGAGTCAACTGGTGAATAGCCACTTAATGAATGAAAAACTTCGTCAACACTTGAGTCAACTGATGAATAGCCACTTAATGAATGAAAAACTTCAACATTTGAGTCAACTGGTGAATAGCCACTTAATGAATGAAAAACTTCAATATTTGAATCGACTGGCGAATAATCACTTAATGAATAAAAATTAGAGTAACTCACCATATTCACGACTGTAGTAAACGAGAAGCAGTGAACAATGTAGACCAAGGAGACGATGACAAATGAAATCCGGACCACTGGAGACCGGTGGCAACTCCGCAGAGCACGTCTCAGCCTGTAAATAATAATTAATGACTTTATTAATAACTAATAAGATAATTTATCCCTGAACACAGTACAAGCAGGCATCCAAGGTAAATATAGTGTAGGACACCATCATTTATTTACGGAATATTTAGTTCCACCGAATAAAAGTAATGCTTTGTGCTTCATGTTAATACTATACGAAAGCTGTCGTTTTGTTCTTTAGTATGTTTGATACATTGATAAGAGCGTGGAATAACATTTACGACCAATAGGCTTAACATGATCTATACTTTCAAAAAAAAGTTAAGAGATCGTAAGTTCATCAGCCAATCATTGACGGCCTTTCAAGCAAAATCCACCAATCATAGACAAGAAAATAGAGCGTAAGTACTTACGTTCACATAGCGAGCTTTGAAAGTATCCACCAATCATAGACAAGAAAATAGAGCGTAAGTACTTACGTTCACTTAGCGAGTTTTGAATGTATGGCGCCAGTTATCTATATAGTATTTAGATTAGAATTTATTGAAACTGATTTAATATAAAATATCTTCCTCTAGGGCTAACAAATTCTTGTAATTACAAGCAACAACTTCGTTTGGACGCAATCTGGGCTGATTCTCGGTGAGTTTTCATTCTATCATTGGCTTCTAATCTTCAATTTTAGAACCGAAATACATTCGGAAATATTTCATGAAATTTGCCTCCATGATTATTGAAATGATTTGGTTAAGATATCATTCAACGAAATGATTCAAATAATTTATGAATGCTGCTATAATGATAATATTTGGATTTGATCGCGGTAACACGAACAACTACACAATCATAGAACTTAGGGGTCAAAATATTGCTGTACAAAAATAAAAGTATCACGGACTTAGAAATAGCGATCACAGTAACGATGCTGCGATGTAAAAGAGCAAAATTTTGTTCCCTGTGCTGCGATGGAAAAAGAGCAAATTTTGTTCCCTGGGCCACGATAGGAAAAAGAGCGAAGTTTTTCCCATGGGTTGGAAGCCCTGAGAATCGACAGCCGTTAAGCGGTTCCTATCACAAGCTAGAGTGCAAGTTTTGGACCACGGATAAAATATTTATTTTAACGAACCGGAAAATACATTTTTTTCAATTCAATTTGATTTCAGTCTACTGCATCTAACCAATTTAAGTTACAGCAGTTGCGAATTGTGTATGTAGAAGCAATTCGAACGAATGTAATTTTGTCCTTCCCAATGAATTTAGCTGGAAACTTTCGTCCAATAATGAATTTCGTATCCAATTATTTGTGAACAAGAATCGTGGTTCAAGGTAACGAAATAAATTATCGAAATATCAATAAATGCATCGAATTATCCCCATTCTTAATGAGTATAACTAACAAGTAACAAACGATTTAAATGTCTAAAATTATTTTTTTTAACCGAATGATATGTCGAATAGAAAGTACGGGAACAAGCTGAAATAATATCGATACTTAATTGGTTGTTGTGCCAGCAGGTTAGGAATCCATTAGCTTATCTTGTAACGACAACAGCAATTCAAACATTAATAAATTAATGGGATCAGGTATCACCAATTCGGAGAAATTTGTAAATCAGAAAATTTTCACAAAACACGTAAACTCTGAAAGATCGAATTTCTATTCCAGTCGTGCTATTAGTTATACTATCTGAAATTTTCGTGAAAATTGTTAGAAATGCCGATTTTTTTAAATATTCACGCAATGAAGTCGGAAATTTTATTTATAACATCCTGATTGTGATGGAAAATGTTTCCCACGGTACCGGTAGTTATAACGGCAACTGATAAAAATTTCCACGGCACCTGATATAAAAAAAATTCCATCTCAGCTTGGTATCCGATCGGCAATCAGAAAATTCTTGATGTCATTAATCTAAAATTGCGTGATTTTAGCTCAATTTTAGAGGAATTGGTCACAACGTGTAGCAATTTTACATGTTTACTCCATTTTGTAATAAATAAGCTGTAGCTGTTCAGTGTTTAATGCTTAAGTATCGATAAAATAATAGTTCTATGCTAAATTATAGTTCTATGCTATTGTAAATATCTAAGTTCTTCGAAAATAATTGGAAAGTACCTGCAACATAATCCGTCAACGATTAATTTGATTTAAAAACCATTAGGATTATGTCCACCCAGCTTACGGCCAAACTTAATAATGCAGCACGCCAAAACGATAATAGTGCTAAACTAAAAAATGAACAGAAAATGCTGTCAGCTAAGAAATTTGCTAGTAGATGACGCTTGTATCGTACGTAAGTTAGGTTCACCTCATCGTCGTATAATCCTTGCACCACAGCCTTTGGATCCAACGAAATGCGAGGTCACCTCACGTCGAGAGAAACAAATGCAAGTATCACAAATCTAAAACATTTATGACTTGCGGGATGAGAAGCTTGATGATCCTTGGTCAACTATGGTAGAGCCACTGTCGTCATCGCGGCAATCGTTCGACTATCTGCCAGCTATCTTATCACTGGGAACTCTCCGCTATACAGGCTCCTTTATCCGATCGACGCGCAACGTGAATAGTTTCAGTAAACGAGGTCGATAAGCTTACATAATAATAGTGGAAAAGTTTGGAGAAAACGGAACACAGTTGTACATCTCAGGATAATATTCTTATGAATTTGAACAAGCAATTCAGGTTACACTTTCTTATTTAAATCTCCCATGCAGCGAACACCGTCACAGAAGACAACAATTTAATGCACTACCTATCATCTCACCTGCAAAAGAATCTAACTTTGAAGTTGAGAAATCAACCGTCATCAGTCACTAGCCGAAAGGCCTACCAGAGAAATATCCTCCGATAATTCCGTGGTTCATGTTCCATTTAGTATTCTTAGCCGCACATTCTCGGCCAGTTCATGCCATCACGACCAGGTCATGAATTTGTCACGAGGAAACTGACGTGAAAAGATAGACGAGTCGCTCTAATAGCACAATCCCTCCTCTCTGAATTTATTTCGTATTTTTTACGTCATAGATGCTCTATCTAGGTCAATAATTAGAATGAAAGGTATTATTGCAGATTAAGTACATCCAAAAAAAAGGGTGTTTTTTTTTTGAATTATATGTTTTTTGGGGTGTAGATTACGAATCTGAAATCCGTTTTTGGCGGTCGGCATCGGAAATTTTTAATGGAACCTGTTCCTAACTGGACCTAACCTGCGAGGTTTTCGTTGATCGGCTAGGTTTTTTCTATGTTAGGAGTCCGTCCGGCGGCCGGAAAACCTAGCCAATAGGTTTTTTCTATGTTTGGAGTCCGTCCGGCGGCCGAAAAAACCTAGCCAATCAACGAAACCTCGCAGGTTAGGTCCAGTTAGGAACAGGTTCCATTAAAAATTTCCGATGCCGACCGCCAAAAATGGATTTCAGATTCGTAATCTACACCCCAAAAAACATATAATTTAAAAAAAAAAACACCCTTTTTTTTGGATGTACTTAATCTGCAATAATACCGAATGAAATGCTTTTTGTGAGGCAATGTTTTCAATTAAGAAACATTTAACTTAGGATCGTGAGTATTCATTTCTGTATTCAGACCGCTCAATCGTAATGAAATAAGGAACCCCTGTTGTTTGATAATCCTTCTTACTATACCAACACCAACACCGACCGCCCAATCGACTTCAGCCTTTTATTGTCAACAAAACATCGCTTGGGGGCGAACTCCGAAACATTGGCAAGCTATTCAACCTGCACTCTTAAAATGCGCTATAAATTTGGCACGCTGCAGTTCGATTGGCCGTTTATTAAGTCATCACATAGGTATAATTTGGCGTCAATTTTCAATAGAATAATTGCATAATTGATGGAATTAGCGATAATTTGTTCTGGCAAAAAAATTTGCATTGAGAGAGTAGCAGAAGCGACATTGGTGGGCTGCATGGTGAATCAGTCCATGCCGGTTAGTGTCCCGCCAATATGCCACTAACTTCTCCACATAATGTCACCGGCCTTCAAACTAAACGATCTGTACTTTCAAAACTCGCTAAGTGAACGTAAGTACTTACGCTCTATTTTCTTGTCCATGATTGGTGGATTTTGCTTGAAAGGCCATCAATGATAGGCTGATGGACTTACGATCTCTTGACTTTTTTTGAAAGTATGGTCAAAGTTAACAGACAACTTTCTAGCACGATCGGAAAGGCTACTTGGTTATAATGTGTCAATCAAACCCAATATATCAAATTATGACCGGTATTATACAGTTTTTATGTACGATCAGCAAGTTAAATGCAGATGCGGTTGAGTGGTGACTTTTGAATTATTGACAGGAGTAACTTTCTCCGCAGTGCGTAACCTCTCACCTCTTTAGGATAATCACTTGCATTGATTCCCTGGAGGACATCTCCGACAAACTATAATTCATAACAGAAGCAATTTTCCAATTTAAAAACTATAGACGGAAGCAACTTGACACAACTTCGCTACGTACCGAGATAACTTACTTGGTTAAGATACGGCGCAGCACCGACGAAGGTATTAGCGCCCTACCGAGATAAAGCAAATATCTTATCTGTTCATGTACAGGACAGGAGACTTCCAATAACTCGGGATGGATTGCGGATGCTGGCGTGGTGGCCTGAGGATAAGTCAGAAATTATTCCGATGCAGTATCGGTACATTTCATTTAGTAGAAGAAGAAAATATTACTCAGTAACTCAGGGGAGTCAGAAAACGGCTAATTAAAGTAAATTATTTCCCCAGTCTCGGAGTTGGAATTAAATTTTCGGTTCGAATTTTTGAAGGCCTAGACATTATCTTCTGAAGGCCACGATATCAATATAGTGATCAGATTTACAGTTGCATTGTCACGTGCGAGTGACGTACCATCACAAACCTACCACTCTATAGTTACGCCATTAAAACCAAACCAATAGTCAATCTCAACTTTCTTGCAGTGACGTGAGCAGAGAATGAAACATATAACATCAGATCTCATAAAAGGTTGCACAGCATGCAACATATAACATCGGCTTTCATAAACGGTTGCACCGCCGCATGCAAGTGGTTTCTTTAAAATTCATAAGAAAGCACTCGTATGAAATTTATATCTTCATCTGGACCATTCTCAATGAGCCGTCGCCAATGTTGTTTTTGAAATTAAATCTAGATTTAATTTAAATTTTTTTGAAATTTTCAAAACATTTGTTCATTTTGCACCACGTGCATCGCAGTTTGGCAAAGTTAAGTTTCGCACAATGCCATCTCATGCATAACTGGATGGGTAAATTAACAACTGAAAATTGGGCGTTTACTGTGGAAATTTTCCATTATATTCGATTTGTTTCAGAAAAAGCAAGTTACGTTGAGTGCTTCTGCACACAAACCTTAACAGGCAAATTCAACTTACTTGATCAAATGACTATTTATATAAATATTAATACATTTCCACATTAAATTATGCATAATAGTACGTATTTTTCAGTCGTTAGTTATGACGATAGATACTTTGTTGGAACCTTCTGTCTGTGTCTTGGCATGATTGTGACGTTGGAGTTTGTTGCTTGAACCATAAATAATTACACATCTGCATTTATACTGTCCTCAAGTCGCTTCTATGGGACTATGTTTCAAAATAATGCACAATAGAAGTTGAGCATCAGGACCACATTGAACTTTGTTTAATCTACTCTTTTTTTATTATTATTTTCCTCGTCTGTTCGTTAAAATTTATTTCATCTCAGCTTGTCATACTCTTGTCACCATTTCCACTGTTTACGTACACCGACACGTGCAAAGTTGATGCTTCCTGTGCGAAATTATCGCCCAGTCTCCGCGATAATTTCAGTACAAACCTAACATAATGAGATGCAGATTACTGCCGAGTGCAGCGGGTAACACAACACCAGATAGCCAAGCTACAGACCAGCAACCGTGCCGCAATATGTCGCTCAACAAATGGGCGAGAGTTACTCTGTACGCACCTGGGGCCATACTTTCAAAAAAAGTTAAGAGATCGTAAGTTCATCAGCCAATCATTGACAGCCTTTCAAGCAAAATCCACCAATCATAGACAAGAAAATAGAGCGTAATTATTTACGCTAACATAGCGAGTTTTGAAAGTATGGCCCGCTGCAGCAACAAATGGTATCGGTGACATATTGTATGGGTAACATGGTAGTTATTCCACAGAGTATCGGTAACAATCGAACCCAGTGACGCTTAGCACGCGTGCTGTGAATGCAGGCTCTTCTTTACTCTACTGCAATTAATTATTGATGATTCAGCCAACTTTTTATAGATTAATGAACATATTTCTTTCGAAAATATGATCAGGCCTCACTGAAATATACTTGAACGTGCGCTTCGAATATTTCTGTAGAAATCATGAATATTCAAATCTTGTTCTTTTTATTTTATCTCTTATCCTTTTTATTTGGATATTTTATTTACGTTAAGTAACGAATATCCCAGCCAGCAGACCTAATGCAATACTGCATGAAAAAATATGTATTTAGACCTGACAATCGAAATACAAATAATTACATATCCGTGTAAAACATTCGCGAGTGTGCCGTCATGTTCGGAACACTTGTTACTCGAGCGAACGGCTGAATAAACTTCTTTTCATAAATAAGAAATAGAACTCGAGCGTAAATGCTATTTTTAGCGTTTGATTGTCTGTGCACTAAAGAAAATTATTCGTGTACCACTTTCACGAAAATGTAATTCTTTTGTGAACATAAGTCAATGGAGTGAATGTAGGTAGCTGTAGCCTATGATTGTCTCAAAATAGCGTGGCACTGCAGTTTGTGGCACACCTTGTGTCACATGATGAGGGGTACAGTGTGGCACTGCAGTTTGTGGCACACCTTGTGTCACATGATGAGGGGTACAGCGTGGCACTGCAGTTTGTGGCACACCTTTTGTCACATGATGATGGATATAGCGTGGCACTGCAGTTTGTGGCACACCTTGTGTCACATGATGAGGTGTACAACGTGGCACTGCAGTTTGTGGCACACCTTGTGCCACATGATGAGGGGGTACAACGTGGCATTGCAGTTTGTGGCACACATGGTCTGACTAGGACAACAGCCCGACAGGATAATTGTTTCTTTTGTCGCCGTAATCTCTATTGAATTAGACGGACGTTTTATCATTGACAGAAGGTGCCATTGAAACCTTCAAAAGTGTCCCTGAATTTAAGAGTTCAAGGCGCATTCATAAATAGCATCAGCGTTGATAGCCAACCTCTTTAATACTTGTCACCGCATTGCTTACTGTCTTATTTTCTTCTGTTTTTACCTGTTAATTCCTTTAATAGATTACCTGTTGCTAGCGTATATTACCTGTTGCTTGCGTATATTACCTGTTGCTTGCGTATATTACCTGTTGCTTGCGTATATTACCTGTTGTTTGCGTATATTACCTGTTGCTTGCGTATATTACCTGTTGTTTG